TAGACATTCATTAGTAACTTGAGTTTAAACATTGCTATGATATGTTCAATTGTTATCACTTATCAGATTTTTTGTTACGATTGTCGTGAAAGTCAAATTCGCAACGCGAAAGTCAAATTCGCGTTGCGATTGTTGCGAAAGTTAAATTCGCGTTGCGATTCTTGCGAAAGTCAAATTCGAAACGCGAAATCGCAACGCGAATTTGACTTTCGTGTTGCGAATTTGACTTTCGCGTTGCGAATTTGACTTTCGCATTGAGAATTTTACTATCGCAACGCGAATTTGACTTTCGCTTTGCGAAAGTGTACCTTCAACAGGTTTTTTTTGCATTCAACATAATGCAGATTGAAATTTAAAACAACAAATCAACTTTTACAAATCAACTAAACAAACAAAAAATAAGAATTATTTACACATCAATTAAACAAATCAACTTTTACAAATCAATTAAACAAGCAAAAAATAATTCTTATTTCCTCATCAATTAAACAACAAATCAACTTTTATAAATACATCAATTTCACGCAGACAATTGTTTATGCACAAATACTTCAATTTCACGTAGCTCACTTCAGGATTAACCTGTAGAAACCAAACATTTGCTCAAACAACACTTTCTACATATCTAAAACCAACAAACAGCAAATTATTGAATTCTAGGTACTTAACCAAACATTTTCAAACTAACAAAGAGTATATAAGTTAACAACACTTGCTCAAACTTACCAATTGTTTATGCACACTTTCAGCACGCGGATACAGGTAGGCAGCGTCTCGCATATATCGCTCTAGCCATAAAATGTCAAAACCACAAGCCTACTGCACCTCTATCTCTATCTGTGGGAGGTAGAAACTGTTTATTTCCTGTCGTCAAACGTTCCAAGCACATGCATATGAGAGGACCACAATCCCCTCTGGCTCCCTGCGTTTGTTGTGGCGCGATCTCGTCTCTGATCATTGTAACTTTGAACTTCTTTGGCTTCTTGTTTCCAGAATTAGTCCAATAATCAATCGCATCCAAGTATTTAGCCAAATGAGTGCTCCATCCCTTACAAATAATATCTCTCAAATCAGAAAATGGTATGTAATTCAACATGTTGTCATATACCATTATCTTCAGGGATGGGAGCTGAAGCTCGACGAGAAGCCAATGACGACGTTCCAAAACAGGGATAAACACCTGCAATCATAAATAATAATTCAATTTCACACATCAAATTTTTATTTATGAACACCTTTAAAATATTCAAAAATAAATACTAACCTTATCGATCTCCCACCACGCAGGATAAAGTTTCGCTTTTCCATTACCCAACACATATGAAGTGTCTATCTGATCCTTCAAGTGAGCTACGTGAAAAGACGTCGGCATAATAGTCCATCGTGTATTTTTTATTTTCTTCAATTTCCTTATTATCAGAAGACGTGACACCCATGCATCAATATGTTGTTTTATAAAAAAATACATATATTAGTGAATTTCATAAATTTTAAAAAAATTAATCAAAATGTAATATAAGAAGAATATAAGACTTACCCCCCATCGAAATAGTCATTGTCTTCAACCCCTAATAACACACCCCACCAAGATCGATCAAGAAACAAATGCATATCATCGTCGAGTTTGCATATATCAGCGTAACACCCCTGGCTCCGCTCATGTAGATAAAAATCAACTGTGGTCTTAGCCCAAAGGGTTATCCAGAATTGTGTTCGGTAGTGTTCTCCTCTCCACTTCAAATACCAGAATGGTACTGACCGGTAACTCATACGAAAGCCAACTCTCATCCATCATGTCAGGAACTTGAGGGGGTTTATTAATATGTCGACATATTATGCCATGTGAATCGGGCTCTCGAACGGTGGGAGTGACCTCTTGAACGATGACAGGGGCCTCTTGAACGGTGGGAGGAGCCTTTTGAAGGATGATAGGGGCCTCTTGAATGATAGGAGAGGCCTTTTGAACGATGACAGGTGCTTCGGGCTTCTTCTTACAGAGTCTTGGCACTATTGGGGTGAACAGAGACGTAATGGCACATGTACGACGTTTGATGCGTGAACCCCGTCGTGCAAGAAAAACCCGACGTAAAGCATCTACCTTATCGGACCTCTAAAAATAAATTAATACATAAATCAGTAAATAAACAAACAAATAATGCCGAAAAAAGGTAATTTGCATATTGTATTAAACAAACTTACCTCATTCTGCAATGATGCAACAATCTCACGTAAAGCAGCTACCTCATCACGTAAAGTAGATACCTCACTACGTAAAACACTATTGTCATCGCGTAAAACCTCTACCTTACCATGTAAAGACCGTACCTCATCACGCCATGCACCATTGTCTTCACGTAAAGTATCGACCTCCTCACGCAAAGCATTGACCTCATCACGTAACTCCTCTAACTCATCCCGTGGAGGTGGAGAACAGAGAGATAAATGTCGTGGCATTTTTGTCGGTCGCCTATCATGAGGTGATGGTGGAGAAGAGGCTCGATGATGTGACAGAATATGTGATGGCTCTCGTTGTGGAGGTGTATAATCGGCTCGATCAGGTGATGGCTCTGGGTGAGGTGATGGCTCTCGAAGTGGGGGTTGCTCATCATCCGTTCCATCAAAAAAATACTTACTAGCTTGCCACCAATCAGTGGCAAGCTCAGCCTCTGTGGGTGTCAGCCTTTGTAATGGATAGTTAACTTCCTAACAATATAAAAGCTCAAACAAAGTTAAACGTCTACTAGTAATAACTTGTTTACATATGGTAGTATTTGTGTTAACTTACATCATTCATCGTCGTAAATGGTAGTAACTCTTCCTAATCCAAAAGTCGGATCCTATTCCAGGAAATAGCCCTAGGAATATCATTTGAATTTTTGATTGCATATGTCTTCATGCTGGGAAAAGCCTCAAATATCCAAATCTACAAAAAATATAATATACAAAAATTAGTAATTGTTAAATAATTAATTATAATTTTGGAAACATTATATAGAAATTCTTACCTTAAAGACCCAAATAAAGTCTGCCAAAGTGTATTTGGAACCATGGCCATGCAAACTTTTTCGGTCTTCAAAGGCAGACGACAACTTTTTCCAGGTAGCTTTCCATAGATATGAACCCCACGGAAACAGGTTCCATGCATTTAGGTCATCTACCAATAATATTAGGTCCTCAGAAATATGTTGTCTGACCTCTTTGCCTCAAAAGCCGGCATGCAAAAGTAATAAATGGCATACTCGGACAACATCGAGGTCATCCATCCGAGTAAAATCATCTTTAACAAATAATATTTTCAAGTCGTTGACGTGTAAACTCGGCTTCACCTTTGCCAGCTCAGGAAAAACCCGAGATAACCATGATGGGTAGGCGATATGACTAGTGTACCGACCTACATCATCGTATCCGAAGCGTAGACCAGTGATTAAGCAAAACTCCTCCCACCCAAAACAAGTATACGCCTGAGGGAAATGAAACCATATCTCTTCATCACCACATTGTATCCTCTCGGGTAGATCGTTAGTCATGGTCTGAAGAAAAAAATTGGTCAACATAGCATCTCCACCCGGATGTTGTACTTTCAGCCATGGCCCGAAGCAAGTATCCTCAAACAATTTTCTTTGTACAGGTGTAAGCGTCGACGTAATTGTAGTGGCTAGGCTTAATTTATTCCTTAAGGTCAATGAAGCTGAAAAAATTTCTACAAAAACAATAAACATACCAAGTTAGATATACCAAAAACTACAAATTATACACTATAAACAGACATGATATTAAACAGTGAAAACAAAGCCAAATATGTTTCAAACTTGCACGGTATTCACCCAAGTCATTATTCTATTATAGTTCACAAAATGCATCAGATAACATTCCAGAAGTAAGCACTTATATAAACATTTAAAAGGACAACATATAGGTTTAGTGTAGGTTCAAGGACAACATAAAGAGTAGTAGTTTATTCTTGAAACTTAAATTCGCAACACTGTGAAGTTAGTATTTGTCTTTGTTTTTTGGTTGGAGTAATGCAATTCATTCAAGTTTCAATTTGCAGAAGAATAATAGTTTCTGAAACTTAAAATCGCAACGCGAAAATGAAAATCGCAATGCGAAACTAAAATCACGTTGCGAATTTCATTTTCTTGTTGCGAATTTAAGTTTCAAATAGTCTTCTGCAAATTGAAACTTAAATGAATTGCATTACTTCAACCAAAACACAAAACAAAGCCAAATACTAACTTCACAGGGTTAAAGACTAAACAGTTTAGCAGTATTTGCAGCAACCGAATGAATTTACTAAGCAATCTAAGTGAAATGGTTAATCTATTACTGAAATTACCAGTAAATTTATCATCAATTTAAATATGAAAAATCTAATAATAATACAAAAATTTCAAAATAAAAATAATTAAAAAAAACTAACCCTCTGTGGTTGATTTTCCATTTCTGACCGTGAATGGTTGTGAGGGTGGCTCTGAGACATGGAGATAGACGGATTTCGCTGGAGATAGGGATGAATTTCGTTGGAGATAGGGATGGATTTCGTTGGAGATGGGGACGGATGTCGCCGTAGAGAGTGAGAGATGGAGATGGGACTGAGTTGTGATTTAGGGTTTTAGGTTATGATTTGCAATTATACTGTTTACATTTGTGTTGCGAAATTAATATTGTGTTTCGAATTCGAAAATAAATTCGTGTTGCGAAAATAAACGTGCTTTGCGAATTTGACTTCTGTGTTGCGAATTACAAATTCGCGTTGCGATTTACATATTCGCGTTGCGAATTTGGAAACTGAGTTGCGAGATTGGAGTTCGCGTTGCGAATTTGTTGGTCATTTTCGCAAATCCAAAAAAAGTTTGTTAAAATCGTATATTATAAGGCATTTTCGGTCACTGAAATTATTTTCTCTTATTATAATGAGAAAACCTTTATTTTCATTTTCTTTTAAATTTCCCTGAGTTAAAAAAATAACTGATATCATTAGGGCCCAAGGAAGACTGTACTTCAGCAATTTGAAGTGCCTGCTCAAGCTGTTGAATTTGAATCCAGTGTTCTGTAACAACTTCTGCCATCTAAAAGCAAGGGAATGAAATTTTGAGCAAGTAAAATGCAAATCATTTCATTATTTGTTATATTAAGAGATAACAAAATCAAAACGGAATAAACAAATTTTCAAGTTTTCTACATATCAACAATCAAAAGAAAGACAAAATTAACCAAGACTGAATTCTGATAAAATGTGATCAATTTCATCATTGACTGAAAAAGAATACGAGGAGAAAATATTTCTATTTTCATCATCAATTTAAAGAAATATAGTTTAGCAGTGAGCTTGTGACTGGCACTTCAACCCTAAAAACTGATGACACCCCATCCCACCAACCCAACAAGGATATTTATATCTAGAAATGAGGCAACATAGAACTGCAATAATTGGAACAGCAACAAGTTGGTGCTTGGATGGTTTTTTCTGTTACTGATAAAAATTCTTTAAGTACATTAAAGACTACAATTTTATAATACAAATAAATGCTTAGTCAATAGTCATTCAGCATTAGATGATCATATATCATAATGTATGACAAACTAGAAGAACCCCTCGTCAATCAAAAACAATCTCTACACAAAAAATGAAATTGATGAAAGCAAATGCTGACCTTTTCTACTTGTGAAGTATCAACTTCCAGTCTATCCTCGGTGTCCTGTGCCTTCGACTCTAAAATATGAAGATCAAAATTGTTCTTTCTTGAAACAGCCCAAAGACAGTGTACCTAGGATCACGAAGACTAGTACTAAAATCAGTTCAACGTTGCACTAAAGCAAAATTTTCTTGCCACTCACCAAGAGAAACATGAAAAGTAATCAAATAGAAATTGAAAGAGTGATTATATTTATACAATTATTTAAAACGAGCCTCCTCTTCTAGAGCCTTAGTCCTTTCATTCAGCAAGTAATGAGTGATCCTGCAATTCAGAAATTGCAAAATAACATGGCAATCTGCTATGTATTTACCAATAGGATTCCTATGTTAATAAACCCTAATAATCTTCAATCTTCTCTTTCAAGAAGTCTTTCTTTTTTGGGAAATTGACAAGAAATTGAAGATTCCAAAGTAGAGTATTATTTCGTGTACATTTTAGTACAGGAGTCGGTAATAAACCAAGTTCGCTCTGTAGTTGTTAAACAGTCACATGGCCTAGTTTGGATAAAAAGAGTGAATAAATGTTACTTATTTTGAATAGTTACTATTTTTTTTCTTGATTTTTTTTAGTAATCTTTCTAGCATCAAGTTTAGATTTATATTAACTTCTTTTATATTTTGATAAACTATTTTCAAATTCATGTAATAACTCGTATAATAATTAATTTTTTTCTTATGTCATTACTTGTCGCATCAATCCAACCAAGCTTGGTAACAAACAAATGAAACAAAGCGAAAAATAAGAAATGAATTGAACCTTAAGATTGGATATAGCAGACTGCAGACAAGTGATTTTGATTGCCATGTCCTCCAGGGATTTCTCGCGTTCCTTAAGATAATGAGTTTTAGCATTAATGTTTTGAATTTTTTCTTCGAGAACAGATTCTGCATCCATGTTAACCAAGTGATTAAAATTTATGACTAGTATTTGTTTGGAAATTCTAAGCAGATGTTTACTTATCAGTAAAGAAATTGACAAGAAATTTTACCCAAACGAGAGACCTGAAGCTTGACGTCGCGCAATCCATGGACCAGAAGATCGTGGTTGTTATTTTTTTATATTGGCATGTGGCGGAGAAGAGGGAGAGGAAAAGGGAAAAGTGAAAATGGAGCGTAGGAGAAACATATTAGCCGCCACTACCGCCTCTCGTATACAGGCCTTTTTACCTTTCTTGTTCTAAGAAGGCTTAATGCCCACGTAATTGCCAAACTATACTATACTTTTGTGTTAAATAGGTATCTAAATTTATTTTTGCCCCATTAGCACTTTAGGTTAGGGTTGTTCATTTTTCGGTTTTAACTGAATTAATCGACCGAATCGAATTAGATTGGTTAATTCGGTTGGCCACCGAATTAGTTCGGTCGGAAAACGGTTAATAAATTTTTTAAAATTCGGTTAACGTTTAATTCGGTTCGAAATCGGTTAATTAACCGAATTAACCGAAATTAAATTTTTAATATTAAATATATTATATAACATATGGGTTGAGCCCAAACAATTTAAAACTCAATTAATAATTTAAGATCCAATAACTTTTAAACCTAAATCAATATTAATTAATTAAAAAACCCATATAAATTTTTTATTTTATAATTATATATTATTTAAATTAATTATAAATTGTTTTTTGAATTAAAAATATTAAATTTTTTATATAAATTAGAAAATTTTAAAAAATTTCGGTTAATTCGAAAATTAACCGAAATTTATTCAGTTCGGTTAATATTTTCAAAAAAAAATCGGTTCGGTTAACGGTTAAAGAAAAAAAAGTTCGGTTAATTCGGTTAATGATAATTTGGTTCAGTCGGCCACCGTTTTAACCGAATGAACACCCCTACTTTAGGTGATCATGAGTCGTTAACGATATTAGTTTTCTCCGTTAAGAGATCTGTGTCATAACATGATAATTTTAAAATTTATTTTTTTAAACATTAAAAATATTATTATATTTATAAAAGGCCATAACTTTCTTATATTATAAAACAACCCCAAAATCTCAAATCCTAACCTTAATTCACCCTCGCCGTCCTCTCTGGCCACTAGGCCTGTAAAAGAATCGAACGTTCAGCGAACCGTTTAGCGAAAAGTTCGTTTATATTTGTTTATTTATTAAACGAACAAACGTGAATAAGATTTTGTGTTCGTTTAATTAAATGAACGAACACGAATAAAGGGCTCGTTCGTTCATTTAGGTTCGTGAACGTTCGATAATATGTTTGTTTATGTTTGTTTATGTTCGTTTATATGCGTTCATTTATGTTTAGCCCAATCTCTCTAGACCCATTTAAAATATTAAAGCCCAATAAATTTTAATCTGATACCCATAAATATTTTAAAATTCAATTAATTTTAAATGCAAATAAAAAAGCCCAAAACAATTAAATAAAATATAATCCTAAAATTGTTATGAAAGAAAAAAATCTATTTTCATTTATGTTCATTTATTGTGTTCGTTTACGTTTATTTATTGTGTTCGTTTATGTTCGTTTACACCCGTTTCTTTACGTTCGTTTATAATTTAAATAAACGAACATGAACGAACATGAAAGAACACGAACAAGCTATATTCCTTAACGAACGAACACGAACAAGAAATGTTTTGTTCGTTTATATTCATGTTCGTTCATTTGATCAGTTAAAGTTAAACGAACGAATATGAACATACCTTGTACGTGTTTGTTCAGTTCGTTTATAGGCCTACCGTCCACGACCGCCGCCGTCGATGTATTCCTTGCCATTATCCTAGTTATATGCCTCTGTAGTTGTTGCCAATTCACCATTGGAATCGTGTGGGATTGTGACTTTCATCCTAGGATTCACGAGATTTAAAACGTCGATTTTTCATCGATCGGTCGTCAACCGGTCATGATTTCATAGGAGTTTTGGTCATCGGGGGAAGTAGAGGTTGAGTGGAGCTTCTTCAATGGCAAAGGGTTGTGGTTGGCGTGGGTTTAAGGGTTGAAATGAAGATTTTTAAAGTTTAGGGGTTATTTCAAAGTTTGTGTTTTCTTTTTAAAAATATATAATTTTATTTTTTAATTTTATATAAAAAATTTAAAATTATCAGATTGTGACACGTGTCACTTAAGGTGAAAAACTAGCGTCGTTGACGGTTCGGGCACCTAAAGTGCTAACGTTTGTAACGTTAGACACCCGAATGAGAAAAAAATACAGATAGTTATTTGACATAAAAAGTATAGTTTAAGCACTTATTTTGATATTAAGCCTTCTTAGAAAGAAGAAAATATAAATAATAGCCAGGAGTACAATTTTTTAAGATTATATAATCATTAAATTGTATCAAAATTACTTTTTATTATTAAATTTAAAAGATAATAAAATAATTATTATACTTTTAATTTAGTTATAAAATAATGATCTTATTATTAGTTATCTCTTAAAAAATGACATGATATATTATTTTGCTTATAAAATTATCATTAAATACTAGACATGACAAATTTAACCCAAACTCGATTACCCTAACCAATTAACTTGATCTGAGACCCGATATAGACCCGAATAGAATGACCCAAAATTGATCCGAAAACTAAAATAACCCAAATTAAACTGAAACCGATCCAAACTTTAGTTGAACCGAACATAACCTGAACCAAAATGAACCTAAACCGAAAATAACGTTAACTGAAAACAACCCAAATCGAAAGCAACCAGAACCAAAAAACCCAAACCGAAAGTAACCCGAACCGAAAATAACTCAAATTTAGTTTATCCATACCCGATCCGAATCGAACTTCGACCCGATAATTGAGTCTAAATGAATGAATAATTTATTTATTTAATTTTTATTATTATATTTTAGCTTTGATGATCTATGTTTTATTCTCATTTTATATTATACTAATAGTTAGCCACCACTTCTAATAATAGTTTAATGGTTTAATATAATATTTCCTTAATTAAAAGATTATCTCTGATGAAATAACTTCTAGCACTGAATTTGAATTGTGATAATATATATTTATATAAAATTCTTTATTTTAAAGATTTATTGATTCAATTGATTAAAACTAAAAAACTCTGAATTTGAGATGTGGAAATATATATTCATATAAAATTATTGAATAATAAGTAATAAAGAGAAGCATTGAAAGTTATGACGATACAGAGAGACAAAAATTGACTCGAAAATCTAAAGATTAATGGTTGACCCGAACCAAAATCAACCGATCTTATATTGACCCGAATTGAAGCCAACCGATTCGATTTTGACCCAACTCGGAAATCAACCGATCCGATTTTGACTCGATCCGCTACCCAACCTGAATTGAATTTTATTGACCCGAACTAAACCGAACCAAATCTAATCAGACCTGAACTGAATCTAAAACGAAATAATCTAGACCCAAAATGACATGAACTGAAATGACCCGATCCGAATAACCTGATTGCCACCTCTATTAAATACTCTTCGAAAGTTTTTTTATTTGATAAATTTTAAATTTAACTACATAACAAATATATCAGTAAAGTTTTTTTATATTAAATTGTATTAAGTAATAAGCTTAAAATCATTTCATTTTATTTATTGAAAATTATTTTACATATTTACACGATGGAAGATTATTTGATAGATACATAATAATTTTATAATGTAATGACAAAAAGGATATTTTAAGACCAATGGAACATTTTATTTACGAAGATTAATGAAGAATATCATACAATCATCGATCAGCGTGAGCGACTTTTACCAGAGGTTGGAAAAAGCTACGGTAAAAGCATTATTGTCGGTAAATTATTCAATTTATTGGAAATGTGAAGAAAAAATCCCAGAGGCGCCGTAGGGAGAGCATTCTAAAATCAAGAGGGACATCTGCAAGGTTGAATTCCCCAGGTTTTTTCAGCGTACTCTTGGATGGTCCTGTCGCTGCTAAATTTCCCAGAGCCAGCTGCACAAAGTATACTCATTTGAGTCCATCTATCTTCATCAACAAACGCTTTATCCGCGGCTGCCTGTTCATTTCAACACAAACTCCACAATTAAAATGCTATTCCAATTCCAACCAGATGGAAACCCCAGGCTATTTACCTGGGCCTCTAGGTAGCTTGCAAAATCGGCTCCTACTAGAAAATAGTCATTCCCAGTCTCTATTTTGTCGCACAATGATTTGAAATAGTCTTTCAACCCAAAGTGACCGTCTCGGATCATCCTATATAATAGTAACACAACGCCACTCAAATCAAACTCTGTATAAGAAAAGCAAGGGCTATATCTCCTTTACCGAGTAACTAAGATGTAAAGTATTGATAAAGCTATACACTACACATAAATGATTGGGCGAAAATACCTTACTACACGCAAAAATTGAAGAGGAACTTTAAGAGCAGGTCCTTTCTCTCGCAATGCGGGAACATCATTCACCGATGCACCAAACAGAAACTGAAAGAAATCTTATCAGAAATCCAGTCCTACTAATATTGTTGATTATCTTTGCATCTCATCTGTGGTGGCATAGTGCTTACCATGTTTTCCCGGCCTACTTCTTCAATCATTTCAATCGTAGAACCATCTTCTGTGGCTAAAAGTAAACATCCATTCATCAAAAATTTCATGCTGCTGGTTCCCGACGCCTCATGCCCAGCAGTGCTGGATCAGAATCAAGAAACACTTTAGGTAAAAGAAGTGTATCAGAAGTTTGCCAATCACTTTGATTTTAATTGAATCATATTCCACCATCCTAAATTCCTAATGTCTTTCAACTACTTAAATCTTTACTATCGACAATCGATCTATCTTTGCCTTTAAAATATAGGGAATATCATTCATTGCATAAGCTTAATGAGAATTAATACTAAAAGATAATGATTTTCGACCCAAATTTATGGGACATGGAGATATCAATCTTTAGAGGGATAAATATATATACAGACAATGAAGCCAAAATAGTCGACCATACAAAAACAAGTAGAATTCCGAGTCAGCAATCACTGCAAAAGATATTATAACTGCTAAAGAACTTGTTAATGCCATATAATGTGCAAAACTTGTGCATACTACCTTAGATGTTGAGAAAGGTCAGCCCCTGGTATTACCAGCTCAGCAACAGAAACATTGTAATCAGGTATAAAGACCTGCATCACGGTTTCTAATTAATTCTGTTCAAGGGCAATTACTCACCCTTCTGAGGAAATAATACACATTTCAGAGTTTCATTCAACAAACATCTCGCGAAAAAACTGGCTTACCAACTTTAAAAGATCTCCAATATCATTATCATTGTTGATCTTTTCAGCCACAACATGACAGAGTTTAATAATCTTTTTTGCAATTTCATAACCTGGAGCAGCTTTTCCTGAAATAATGCAGACCCGCGGTACAACTTTTTTCCTATCATTCTTGTTCATATTCTGCACCAAAATGAGAATAGCATGAGCTTGATACCTCTGGATCACTCGTTCTTTTAACTTGATGTTAAAATGTTCGAAATATATACAACTTTTATAATTTAAATATTTTTATGCAAAACAAAATGGTTATGATTAAGGAAATGGTTAATCCTAACTCATCTGACAGTTTCGAGACATAAGAAATCAGAATAAGGAATCATTGATCTTGCAAATATCCCGCCACAAGTAGTAATAACTTAAAACCTAAAGGCAATTCAACAAGGCATAAAAACAGCATTTTATAAATTCCACATGTTTTCATGGCTCTTTCAGGCAAAGATAGTGTTTAACCTTGATGCTGTCATATCTATGGATAATGCCAAGTATATTAAGCAACTGCCGCTTATATTCATGAATCCGCTTTGTGTGCACATCAAACATTGCATTCAAGCTGACCTGCACATTACCGATAGTGCACACCAACATTAGGTCATTACAGAGCTCCTCGAAAACATGAAAAGGAAATTTGGGGACAAAAACTATAACTTTCTTCAGAACCTTCAAACCACTCATTGCGTCAATGTACTCAGCAAGCCTTATTTTGTTGACCTTCTTAACCTATGAGATAATAATTAACATTAAACGAATGGTTTACTCAATGATATGTTTTGTTTCCAAAGCTGAAGCGTGCTAACTAAGAAAGTACCATCTTCCATTCTTGATGCAATTCAGCATTAGTTGCATGATCTCTCAAACCTATTAAAAGGTCAATATCACGGATCCAAGCTTCTGTTCCAAGCCATTTTGAGATAAGAGCACATAAACTAGGATTGCTGACAACAATCCAGCGACGCTGAGATATCATATGTTAACCGATCAAAATCACTACACAGCAAATGAATTTAAATTATTCATGTACTTTTAATTATCAGGGCTAGATGCACTACAGCATCAAAGTAACAATTCTAGAATTTATTTGAGGGTAGGAAAGCAACTTATCCAATCAATAACTTAAATAATGCCAAAAAAAAACTGAACTTATTTTAAACCTGGGTCACTCCATTTGTCTTGTAGTGAAACTTGTGCGGCCACAGCTCATAGAAGTCCTGCAAAGATTTAACGGACAACAATTTAGATAAACTAATTTAACTTAAAGCCAAGGAAAGGAAATGTTTAAGAAGGTAAGATAAGTTTTACCCTGAATACTTTTGTTTTCAACAACTCTAAATGTAATCTGGAGACCCCATTCACAGTATGACAACAAATGATTGATAGGTTTGCCATTCGAATATTCTGACAAAAAGGATGGTTATGAAGTTCAATTTTTCATCCATTCTAGCAATCCATCAACACAGCAGAAATTAAATCTATACAAATTGATATATACCTTCACAGCACCTTCCTCAACAATTGACATCCTGGCCAACCGATCATAATCTAAACCAATCATCTTCTTTAACTTTTCCATGAAGTTGAAGTTTATGTCATATATAATCTGAAAAGAGCAAATTTGTAAAACACGAGTAGCAAACTGACGAGCACTCAAATTAATATATTACAATCTAAATAAGTGGATAATACAGGAAATGTGTTGAAAATAACAACCAATCACATGCATGTTTATGTACCTTGGATGCATGATGTCATAATTAAGAAAACTATTAAGATGAAGCTATAACATATGACATCAGATACAAATGAAAGATTATTGCAAGACGAAGTTTTTCCTTTGGAACAAATTAGGCTTTCAATCACATAGTTAGTCAATGAAACAGATATTAAAGCTGAAAGTACATTGAAACATTGAAACAAAATACACCTGCAAATGTCGAGGGAGAAGGCTGCCCATTAGATCCACAGGGATTTTCTCCATTGCTTCAGATGATACGGTATGAGTTGTGTATGAAAATATTTTGCATATGATGTCCCAAGCTCTGTTCCAGCCTAAATGCTCTTCATCCAAAAGCACTCTCATTACCTCAGCTATCGCGAGAGATGGATGAGTGTCATTCAGCTGCAGTGCAACCTATATAAAATGCAATTGAAGTTGACAGAACAGTAGTCAAGCATCAGCACAGCACTCAACCCAAGGATGAAAATTGAAGTGGAAAGAAAATTATTCTCAGTATAGAGAAAGCCTCCTCACTCAACTCTCAGCGCTGCCGTCATCTAAAAGCACAACCATTTATCAAGTATATGACATTGATAACTTGCGTAAAACTTGAGAACAGAATTACTCGAGATTCAGAACAGTATAACTGGACCATATGATCAGACCAGTTCCAAATAGTCCTATTCGAGGTGTTCCTACATATGCTTATGCACTAATAGATACATGAAACATGCAGCTAATAACCTTCTCTGGAAACTCATTAAAATTTTTATGAGTATCTTTGAATCTTCTGATGATGTCTTGTACTGATGCAGAGACAAAGAAATATCGCTGTTTCAACTGCAATTCTTTACCCTGAGAGAAACCACCACAAAGAAGTATGAATGTAGCTCTACATAAAGACTAAAGAAAAATATTCAGTCAACCACTCAAGCCCTTGCACACATTTCAACCAAGTTTCAATGAAAGCAACATGAATAATCTCCGACTTAGTACCTTTAATTTCCCAAAAATCAAACAATTGCAATACTTTAGAAGATGCAGAATGCAAAGTTTGATAGATAACTAAGCCTCCTGATGTTAACTAATCATGTTAAGGAAAAGCAACCAAACCTGATAAGAACGGTCATCGGGGTATAGTATACTACTAATACTTTCTGCTCTCTGTCTATTGACCACAGCATCAACATAATCCCCAGTGTTATAGGACTCCTGCAAAGCCATGCTCCAAAGCTGAGGATTTAAGATATATCAATGCCACATACTCACAAGAACCCATAATCATACATGGCAATAAAAATCAGAAACTTTGGAGTCTCCAAAACAATCCCTCACGAAATTGAAGTCTCCAAACTGAAAGACAATATCTGAAAAATACAGAAATCTTAACTGACAATTTTTTTCTAGAACCGACATCAAATACCCACTTCAAAGACTATACAAGAAATATGCTAGATGCTAAAATCTTACTGACATAAGCGAGAGCTCTCTCACCAAAAAGTAATTCTCCGAATGCAAATAGTGAAATCCAAAAGAGTAGCGAAAATAAAAGAAATAAGTAACTTGACTCAGCAAATAAGTGATATCATTAAGTTGGATTAAGCATGTTTCAAAACAATTAGGCCAAAATAATCAGGGAAAAAAGATTAAAAAAGATTTCCAAACTACCCGCTTACTAAGCAGAACTTAATGGGTAGGGTATATAAGAGAAATCAAACAGGAAAAACAACATAGTTGCACATATGACAATGTTTTAAGCAATCAAATGAGCACTTGTAAGGTCAGTCTACCTATAATATTTCTAGTAAACCTAGAGCCTAAGAAATATAGTTTTAAGTGTCGAATCTTCATAGTTTAGGTAACCCTATATAAACGGAAGCAAACATACACAGAGAATCCAACCTTACAATTACTAATTGGACTTTGTCGAAATTACCATATTGTGTTGATCACTTGGTTTGGCAGCCCAAAGGCGAAGAACAATCGTATTCCTTGTTCCATAACCTGGTATTGGATTGTCATATGCCACAGCTTCAACCTACCACCATGAAGGCATATTGCTAAGCTAAACAGAATACCAATTACGTTCAGATAAATTTAGCAGCCATTTAAACCATGCATCGCCACCGAAGGATATATAATTTTTTGCAAAAGTGTAGGCTTTCAAATTATGAAAAGATTACTGCCTTACCACTTCTCCAGGAACCCAAACTTTATGTTTTTCTTTATTCAAAACTTCGTCTGTGACAGTCCCATAGAACTTTACCATCCAAAAACACAGTGGGCAGAAGTTTAGTAAAGAACATAATGATATGTCACACATCTAATATGATTACAGATAATTAAAAACATCCGAGAACATACAAACCTTTACAGGATAAGTTATGTGAACCCGCTCTATCTCCCAAGGGTTTCCAAAGTTTAACCAATAATCAGGTTGTTCATGTTGAAAACCATCCAATATAACTTGTCGGAACAACCCATACTGGTAGCGCAATCCATAGCTGCAACAAGAAGATGCATAATTCCCTATAGTTAGATTATCGTAAAAGCCAATTCTCATTTGAGGATATACAAGTCATACTCATTTGATGCACGAATTCCTTCACTGATCTTGGAGAAGTAAAACTAGCACGGATTATAAATAAGCTAAAACTAGGTAGAAGATATGCAAGTCAGCTTCATATCCCATAACCCATTTTGGTTTCAAATCCAGTATGGATAATTATTCAGTACATATATTTAACGGAATGTGCAGATCTATTACTTTTAACTTGAAATATCTCCACAAATCTTACAAGCAAAATGTATAATAAAGGCATACCCTATAGCAGGATAGTCCAAAGTTGCTAGAGAATCCATTTGGCATGCCGAGAGACGAGCGAGGCCTCCATTACCCAGGCAAGCATCTCCTTCCTTAGATTATCATAATGAAGAAGCTATAAAGTAAATGCATAATTATCCGAGTATACAGATATATATGCATAATACATGACGAACTTTCTTCCTAATGATTAAGAATTTACTTTTATGTCACTAGTTAAAAAATCGAGATATCTTTCACAGAGTCTCACCGTCTCTAATTCTAAGGATAGGGTTGTTTTGAAAGGACAAGCGCACATCATAAAGTGTTTTGCTACGTTACTCGGAATGTCCATGTAACCGTCAAACATGGGTATGGTTAAATGTTTTAAAAAATGTTCATATATTTGAAGGATATTGGAGGTCATATCCAAGAGTCGGACATAAATACTTCATAAAAAAATAATAGTCCAAGCAATGTAGATCTTTTGTCCATATACCCCCTAAAAATAATAGTCATTTCCAATTACTACACATCATGATATCCGATATAATTATTCGATGTTTTCAATTCTACTTGCAATCAAAAAATTACTTTTGATTAATCTGAGATTAGGACAATAAAGGAGCACATAAAATCAAATGTCAAGTTAACCTGTTCAGCTAAAACTTCAAACTCAAAACCAAGCTGGCTTAAAGCATCTGCAAATTGATCACGAACTCCAAGGTTGATGACAGTATTTGACAACGAACGGCCTGAAATTATAAATAGCATGAATGATAGTTAAAGCAACGAAGACAACCCAGAATAAAATGTGAATTCAAGAATTGGTTCTCCTTGTAAAAGGAACCGCAGTTTGATCCTCTAGATTTGATAAATTATAGGTAAAAGGAGAGTAATAGAATCCATAACCGAACTTTTAGAGAGCTCTAAACTTATCGATAATTTTAAATACAGTAAAATTATAAGTCTCATAAAGGTGGGAAAATATACCCATAAGAAACTCAAGCGAAAGAAAATAAAGTCGTTTCGGGCCTTTCCTGTTGAAATGTATCTGAGTATCATGCCAACGTTCAATCAACCGATCTCTTACACTATGTGCTAAAGCCTGTTAAACAATCGAAATCCAAGTTATATAATACATTCCCGCCAAACATTAAAGAATGTCAGAATTCGTTCTCAACCGACCAACGGAACCTTAATCTTACGTGATAAGCTTCAAAATCATCGAAATTAAATCGCGATTTAGCCACTGTGAACTCCACGTGATCTAAAATATCCTTTTGTAAGCTAAGCGGGTCGTTCTTCAAGAAAACATCCATCAATCCAAACATCCTCTCAGCTTTGATTTTCTCCTCCCCAAATTCCAACCGAGGCTTCCTAACCATAATCCCTCTCGCAGCTGGAGAAACAGAAACGGCGGCGTCATCGTCTCCGTCGATTGCCTCGACCAAGGCCTTCTTGATTCTCTCCAAGCTCTTCTGATCGTCGATCTTGTTGCCTCGAGAATCGGTTACGAATAACTTTTTGATAAAATAGCCTCCTTCGCAATCTACGGTGGCTTTGTCGATGAGTATACCGAGGACATTGAAGACGCGCATGATGGTTTGGAGGAGACCTAAACGGTTACGCGTACGGATGACGAAAGCGGTTGAATTGTCGTTATTCTCAGGAGCAACGATTTCGACTGTTACTGAAGCGGATGCATTGTTTTCAGAAGTGGCGGGAGGGCGTTTGGCGGCGGAGAGAGTGAGGGGTAGAGTGTTTCGATGGGGGAGAGGTAGGAGAATTGGGAGGGAAGATACGTTTTTAGAAGGGAATTGAAAAGAAGAAAATGATGTGTTCGGACGGAGTATAGAAAAGGAGAGGGTAGCCATAGTACTGAAAAACAACCGTGATATTGCAGGCTTACGTTAGTGAATAAGATGAACAACCAATGTGGATTAAAATTTGGAGATTCGTAAAATGATAGGCAGAGAGGTTGAGGACAGTTGATGCAGCCGTTTTAAGCGGATCACCCAGCCAGATGGGAAATACCACGTGCAGTGCGGATCACTTTTCCTTTATTTTCTTTTTCTTCTTTTAACCAAATCTTTTCAAATTTTGTCCATGTGGATCACATCCACTGGCTTATTTTTCGTACGTTGATTTAGTTATTTGGGATAATAACACGAATGATGGTTGAACTATTGTAAAACTCAATTCATATTTTTCTTATTGTGATAATCGGCACTTTCTTCAAATTTGATCTTTATCTTTTTTTCTTGTCTCAATCCTACATTTACACTACCATTCCATTCCATTAAGAGTTTTGATTTTTTATGATTTCAATATTAAGGCCTGAACATGTAGCATTCTAAGTTAGTGATACATGATAACGATAATTTCACAATTATATTATCACTATATTATATGAAAATTAATAAAAATTCAATCAACTCAAACATTTATAAATAAATGGTAAATTACACGCATACTCACTGTATTTTACACTTTTAATTTTTTCAATTTACTCAGAACTTTAGACATTGAACATTTTTTGTCACTTTATCGTTAATCTTATAATGGCGTTATGACGCAGAATATATAAATGATTTTTAATCGTTTAAAAATAGTCTAAATAATCTGTCAAAAAATAAAATTAACACGTCAGAAAACAAATGAAAATTAATAAAAAAATGAGGGTAAAATAAAATTAACTAAATGACTATTTGTTTAACCCTAATTTACATGAAGTGCAATACTAATTCTCAAAACTTTCTCCCAAATCGTTTACCCTTATATGAGTTGAGGGGGTTTAATCTTCGTATGAGAAGAAAGGTTTAAGGTTTAGATGAGTGGTTTGTGAAATCAGTTGAGGGCTGGGGAGAACTGTCTAAGTTTTCTGTATGGCTTCGAAAGCGAAAGTGGGCGTGGGTTCGATATTAGAATCATGAGAAGTCATGTGTTGCATTCGGGGTGTGTTGCTGGCATATCATACGGTGAGTTGTTCTAACTTCTCATTTATATGTTTCGATTATGACCCATAATTAGGGTTTAATTTTTTTCGAAAAATTAGTGTGTTTTGTTATTCCTTTTAAGGGTTCTAAAATTTTGTGATAAAGTATATGAAATTCATGTTCGCTTGTATAATTTAGGTTTCAATTTCATTTTACTTTAGGCTTTTTAATATATGTGTGTTTCTTTGCTATAATTATTGTTACTATAAATTTGTAAAATGATAAAAATTTGGTGGATATGTTTGTTGGATAGCATGTGCTGGTTGGATATTAATGGGTTGATTATTATTTTGACATGATTAATATATGTGTGTTGCTTTGCTATGATTATTGTTACTACATATTTGTACAATGATAAAAATATGGTGGATATTATATGTTTGTTGGATAATATGTGTTGGTTAGATATTGATGTATTGATTGTTAGTGAGGATAACATAAGTACTATTTTTTATGACCACATTGTTTTGATAATAGTTTAATTGTTTTTGTGGATAAAGTGAATGAGGACATAGGTTAATACCCTTCTCTTAAAACATGTGCATATATTATTTAATGATTATATTGTGTTAGGGACCATTAGGATTTAGGGTATAGTATATAAAATATTAAATTTACATCAAATTAATAATTTATTTATTTATTTAATTCAACAACCATATATTTAAATTAATGCATTTTTTATTTATGTCACAACCACATCTTTAGAGTACTACACAATAGTGGTTCACAATGGTGGATACATTATTAATGATAATCAACCCATAGTGGAATATATTGGTAAAAAGTTATATTCTTTGATATGTGTGGGATTGACTCTATGTTTATGCTTGTTATCTGTGATATGATTAAGGAGTTAGTATATCTCAATCCATATGAAATATATTGACAAAAACTAGAGGTGCATTAACTCTGAATACACTGAAAACCAATGATGATGTGTTAAGTTTGTTAAGTAATATGCCTAGGAATAAGTATGTGCATGTTTACTCTGAAGAAATTATCAAACATAGACATGAAACAAATACTATAATTGAAAGTGAACCCACTATTGATATTGAACATAATCTTGAAACTGAAATTAATAGTGAGAATGACTTAGTTGATGGTGAAATTATTAGAAAATATGTTTATAAAACTGAGGATGAACATTCAAAATATAGCTTATAAGAGTCAAGGTTTTGATAGTCTGTTTGAGGGTAATGAGAATGGTTTAGGTGGTGGTGAAGATGAAATGAGTGATGTGCCTGTGAGAGTTAGTAGGGATATACCTAGATTTACAGTAGGCAATGAAAGTGAGGGAATAAATAGTGAAGATGGCAGTAAGGGTTCAGTCATTGCATAGTGCAATTGACTTTGAAATAGAGGATCATAGGAGAATCTGTCATGAGTTTAATAGTGGGGTTGACTTAAAAAATCTCCAATTTAGGAAATGTATGTTATTTCCTAACCAAAAGGTTATTAAAGCAACAATAAGACAATATGAAGTGAAAAATATATACAATGTGAGGCTTAAGGTGAATGATTCTAGAGGATTCTTGGTTGTGTGTAATAATGATTTCTCATGGATGATTTGAGCATCAAGAGTCAATCCTAAAGATGAGACTGACACAACTTGTAATGCCCCGAACCCCGGGTTAGTAGATTCAGGTCAACCCAAGTAAGAATTTAAATAAACCCATTAGCCTGGTATGAAAGTTTAGCAAAAATAAGTATTGGTTTGGGCTTGGTTTGAGCCCAATTGTTATGAAAAGGGTATTTTTGAGTTATAATCAAAACTAGGAAGACCAAAGGAGTAGTTTCACTATTTTTAATATCAAAAGTCAAAAACCTTTAATTGTTGATGATATCACGTTGTCTCATTTTTTTTCCTCACTCTCATTTGTCTTCTTCCTTATCATTCATCTCCTCATTCTTCCTCTCTAAGAACCAAGAAAAGGTTAGAATTTAATAGCCAACAATTCTAGTTTGTTCCATTGAAGGTAAGAATCGTAAATAGCATCTTTAGAGCTTCCATTTGAGATAACAAGATTAAGTTTTGGTCATAGGGTCCAAAAATAAGTTTTATATGGTTTAAGGAACTTAAGTGATTCAATATGTTTTCAGAAAGTTAAGGCCTTAGGAAGTGTTCTTGAACCCTTCTAAACCATTAAATCAAGCTAGTAACACTTATGGTTGATTCTTATATAGTGAGAGAGGTTTGACAAAGCTCCAAAACTATAAAAAAGGAAAAAAATAACACTTAGTTGAGCTTGGTGTTTTCCAGTAGCTTAGGAAATCAAGGAAACTCACTTCTAACTCAACTCTACCATATAGTAAATCACTAGGTGAGTTTGTTAGCTTGCATGAGTTAGGAATCATGTTCATGGTTGATTTAACATTTGGAGTGTTTTTAAGCATGTTATGGCCTTATTATGACCCTTATTATTAGATATGATACTCTAATAACATTTGGGGACCTCATTAGAACATTTAGGAGTATTTTTTAGGCATTTTTGTACCCAAAATAGGATATTTTTAGGCATGAGTATCGACACTAGAAGAACAATACTGATATTGTTCTTCAGGTGTTGAAAACAAAGAGATTTTGGGTTAGAAGCATCGATACTCATGCAATAGGTATCGATACTGTAGGTAAGGTATCGATACTCACAAGTTGGTATCGATATCTAGTTCACTTAGCAGATTCTAGCAACCATTTTTGGTATCGGATATTCATGGGAGTATCGATACCAAGGGTAGAATATCGATACACCCCAATATGGGTACCAATACTTAGGTATTTTTCAAATCATCAAAGCTAAATTTGATATTGATACTCAAGAAAGTATAGATACCTTAAACCAAAAGTATCGATACTTAAACTAGAGTATAAATACCAACCCTTTGTTATCAATATTCAATAAGTCAGTAGTATCAATACCCAGAGGTTAGTATCGATACTAGAGGTCAGTACCGATACTGAGAGATTTAGTATCGGTACTCACAAATAACTTTGGGTTAGAAACTCAAGGGTTTTAACGGATAGTGTTGAAGGACCAAATAACAGTAGAATGCCATGAAATAAAACTATAAGTAAGAACAATAATAAACTCAAAACAACTAGAAACAATAACTATTAAGATGCCATAAAACTAGCCTTGCTTGATGCTCAGGACACAATCAGGACACCCGAGCTACTTAGCATATAAAATCGCACAATTTGGATATCACAATCAGTGTCAAGGCATTTAACTACTAGTTGGGTGCAAATGCCCCAAGACTCGACAAAGTAAGTTGGTCAAGTGTACATTTCCGATGCAATTGTAGACTTCACCCTAAATACCCAAGGGTATATAAGAAAGCTAGAATGGTGTGTGAGCTCTGAGATATAGAACCCTCAGCCATACCATTGCATCTACCTCAGCATGTCATATTCGTATTTCCTCACATCTTCATACTTATGACTCTTGCATGCATATATAGTGAATGCATGTAGTATAATACAATTATTAGTGAGGCAATGAGCTCGTAAGCTCAACGTTGGAATGTATTTTTTGTGCAGGTTCTTAGGAGGTCGTTCTAACATTATCGTCACCAGACATTCCAGTACCACTAAGGCATCAGAGTACATCTTGATTTGTATTAGAGGGCATGTACTATTGTAGACATTTATGTATTTAGATGTAACTCTATTTTGATTTTAAATTTAATGTAATTATTCTGGATGATTGAGAGCTCCCCATATTTTGTAAACCTTGAATTATTATGTTTTTATTTTATTTTACTTGAGATGGATTTTACGTGATGTTTCATAGTTGATTTAAAAGAAAATTTTTGGGTTAACCACTTTGGTGGTCTCGTTTGACATTGTAATCCATTGATCTTTAGGTTAAACTAGATTAGAATGTTATATTTAGTGGATGAGTGCCAAGTTTAGTCATTCTTA